ATTTACGAGTGATACAGGCCTCTGTGTGGCCGCTGGGTATTTGGGATTGAGTGGTTCCATGACAGCAAACGTCCATTTACAGAACAGGGTGTTTTAGATTTCACATTTTTGTGTACATAATGGGGTATCTTGTAAACAGGTTCCAAATCTAAACACAGTAATTTTTAATGTTTCACATATACCTTAATATACATAGCATGATGATGATTTTATAAAATAGTTCCAGTAACTAAATGCATGAAACAAAATGTGGGGTTTTCCCACTTTGCTGTTATGATGGTACTCAACGCTGTCCTAATTTGGGGCATTTTACGTTTCAGGTCTCAGAGTGGGAACTCTTAACCTGTACTGGAAATAAAGGGTAGGTGGAACCCTTTAGGAGTCCTAATCATGGCCTGTCAGATTTTAATTTATATAGCTGCTACTCCATAACAGAAACCTTTTCAACACCCCCCCCAAAGACTTACATTCTTTTTATCACATATTTTGTTAATGATGATGATGAAATGGAATTAATATTCTCACACTTCTATGATGTGGATTATGATTTTGATCTAAAGCATGTAACAATAAAGGTTTATACTTTTCATTAAATGTTCATAAATATCCAGGAATGGCAGTGTCTAACCAATGTTTAGAAGTAAATCGGAATAAATCTTACAGCCCATTGCTGTTTGTATCTGTTGTGTCTGTAATGACTTCTGCGTTGGACAGCTTAGGACCCTTATGGCATGGACAAAGATCTGGAAGCCATCACTATGAAAACTGCCGCAGCACAATTCTCAGGCCGTTTCAGACACAGTAGAAAAGAGAATTTCACATTGGCTTATAAAATTATTATAAAGAAAGTTGAGGTGATTAAAATTAAGCCCAAACAAAAATATTCAAGTTCCTACCTATAAGCAAAAACTGTGGCAGCCAAAAACAACTATCAAGGGCACTGTCGTAGAAGTTAATGGAAACCAAACCAGAACAAATCCCAAGGGCAGGCCATTTCTGAATGTTTTCCTTGCTTTCTCCATTGAATTTTCACACTTATTTTTTCCTTCATAAAACATTACTTTGATTTTTTTATAGTAACACACACAAAGAAAGAAAATGTGTTGTTCAACTGTTAAAGAGAATCATTTAGCAGAGTGGCAATTAGAAATATGTTCACATTCTGAGTTCTAACTCAGCTAATGAGTCAGTGAACAGACAAACATTTGTAAGTCACACAATTTGAAGCATATTATAAATTGTTGATTGGATCTTACGGTCCTCAATATGCATTTATTTTAGTAAGTTGTATGATGTTAAAAATAAGGCTCAGTGATTTACTCATTATCTGAATAACAATAACAAAACATGGTTTATATTATTTAAATTAATTTTTAAAATACCCCCATCAGAAACTATTACAAAGAAATAAACCACTTCACGGAAGTAAATACAATATTCTTTGGGTGCTTGATAATATGCACTGACTGCATTTTTAAGTATAAAGCAAGTTGATTCCATTATAACGACTGCTTCTCCCCGAGAAATAGCTTCTCGCCTGGCACATGAGAACAAGCCCACAGCATGATTCATGACTATTAAAAATGCAACAGAGAGAATGACTTATCCTCTCAACACAATGCCATACACTGCTGTAGTAAAATGAAGAGAAAAGGAACCACCTAAGTTCAAAGAGGAACAAAAACGGTCTGCTGCAGATATGACATTCATCCAGCTCTCTTGATTAGCAAGGGAAATTAGGGATACATTACAAGAATTTGATAGACGCGATCACAGGAAAACAGTACACTGTTACTATGTTATGGCTAGTAAAAATCACGTCAAAGATTAAGCATTAGGAATGTATTTATGAGAATAAAGACAGAAGGTTACTAAATGCCAAGAATGACAAAATTGGGGTCTTTATGCTAATGAGTATCAGACATGACTAATAAATTACTGAATCTTTGTAGTAGATCCTGGATTTCTTCTTAACACAGACCACAGATAGTCAATACCAATCACTGAAGGCTGGCATTAACCTGAGACCTATTTATTACTCCTGCTCTCAGTGCCATTGTTCAAGAAAAATCTTGCCAGTTAGCATGGCAAACACACATCACTGCTACGACTAATCAAGAATGACTTTCAAAAAATCCAAAAATATGAAACATATTAAAAAGGAAAATAAAAACAATACTGTAACACATAATATTGCGATTCAGAAAGAGGAACAAAACTAAATGACATTGCCATCTGCAGTCTAGAATGGTTTTGATCTTGATGATTAACAAGTCATCACTGCAAATAATACAAAATTAAAGCAATGGTTCCCCAAATGCAGCACAGCAAACATTAAAGATCATTACAGGGCCGGGAGATTATAGCTTTATGGCCTGCTTGAATAACATGGTTAATTCAAGGCTACCCTGGAAAATTGTCAGACCCTGTCTCAAAATAAAAAGTAAAAAGAGGGTTTGGGATTTAACTCAGTGGTAGAGCACTTGCCTAACATATGGGAAGACAGGTTTAATACCCAGGGCTTGCAGTGGGGAAGGAGGACACAGCATATCACAGATAACTCACAAATTGCTCATGTAATTTAATGATGTATGTTACTTAAGATTTATAGCCAGAGATGCCTAATAGAGAAACCCTAAGAGCAGTAACTATAGAGAATTTGATGAAATGTTGATACATAGAATACCTTAAAAATCTCAGAAAAAAATTTGCAAATTTTCTCAAAATATAAGAGCATGACTTTTATGTTTTTAGACATATAGTTTGGTTTATCTCTACCTTGTCTAAACTTAAATGTTCATTAAGGTGTACAAATTCCTACAGTGTGACTTTGTAGATATTTATACAAGCCAGGCAGAAGTATAGTGGTATGGCTTAGTCATTGTTATCTTAATTTCTAGGAAAATAGTACCTCACCCTGACATTTTAAAACAGTAAATGCAATTGTTGAACAATATTAAAGTAGTACTGCAGAGGTGACTTTGCTGTAATTCTGTATTTTACAACCTCTTGACAATGTGGAATCAATACTCTCAACACAGTATCCTCCGTTAAAAGCACAGAGCAATAGTGAAGCCAGCAGGTAAGGGCTACGGCACGTAGGCGTGAGTAGCCAAGACCCCTGCTCTAGCACATGCAGTGTGACATACTGCTTCAGCAACTAAAATCTGCACCAGTCTTCCCAGCCTCCTCACGCCCACCCAGACACCTGAGACGTGGCCCTCACGCCCACCCAGACACCTGAGACGTGGCCCTCACACCCACTTAGACACCTGAGACGTGGTCCTCACGCCCACCCAGACACCTGAGACGTGGCCCTCACGCCCACTTAGACACCTGAGACGTGGCCCTCACGCCCACTTAGACACCTGAGACGTGGCCCTCACGCCCACTTAGACACCTGAGACGTGGCCCTCACGCCCACTTAGACACCTGAGACGTGGCCCTCACGCCCACCCAGACACCTGAGACGTGGCCCTCACGCCCACCCAGACACCTGAGACGTGGCCCTCACGCCCACCTAGACACCTGAGACGTGGTCCTCATGCCCACTTAGACACAGCAGAGACGTGGTCCTCACGCCCACTTAGACACAGCAGAGACGTGGTCCTCACGCCCACTTAGACACAGCAGAGACGTGGTCCTCACGCCCACTTAGACACCTGAGACGTGGCCCTCACACCCACTTAGACACCTGAGACGTGGCCCTCACGCCCACCCAGACACCTGAGACGTGGCCCTCACACCCACTTAGACACCTGAGACGTGGTCCTCATGCCCACTTAGACACCTGAGACGTGGTCCTCATGCCCACTTAGACACAGCAGAGACGTGGTCCTCACGCCCACTTAGACACCTGAGACGTGGTTCTCACGCCCACTTAGACACAGCAGAGACGTGGTTCTCACGCCCACTTAGACACAGCAGAGACGTGGTCCTCACGCCCACTTAGACACAGCAGAGACGTGGTCCTCACGCCCACTTAGACACAGCAGAGACGTGGTCCTCACGCCCACTTAGACACAGCAGAGACGTGGTCCTCACGCCCACTTAGACACAGCAGAGACGTGGTCCTCACGCCCACTTAGACACAGCAGAGACGTGGTCCTCACGCCCACTTAGACACCAGTGATGTGGTCCTCACACCCACGCAGATACCTGAGACGTGGCACAAATTTTCCACAGATCTCAAGGTGCACTACATTCCGTATGAAAGGCCACTTTCAGCCACAAACAATACCACAATGTATGGGCGGGAGAGGTGGCTCAGGGACTAAGAGCTCTTATTGTGCTTGTAGAGTTCCCAGCACACATGGTGGCTCACAACCATTGGTAATTCAGCTGCAGGGGACTGGGCACCTGCTTCACACACATAAAATTAAACCATAATCTGTGAAGTAGGAAGGCAAGGCCACTATGCAAAAACCAGAGGTAAGTTTTCTAAAATTCCTTTGGAATAAACATTATAATCTTTTACCCTCAGCCAACTTCACAATTAAGAATTGTTGTTATAGCTGGGTGTAGTGGCTCACCCTTTTAATCCAGCACTTGGGAGACGGAAGAAGGTGGATCTCTGTGAATGAGCTAACCTAGTCTACATAGTAAGTTCCGGGGCAGCCAGGGTTACAGAGAGGCACTGTCTCAAACAAACAACAAGAAAGAGAATTGTACTTATAGTATTATGTTCTCCCTTGATTTTGAAAACTGATAGTAACACATGAAGTCATTTTCCTAACTTCAGTGTACGCCATGTGAGGCTATTCATGATTACATCAAAACAAATTCTAATTACGAGGTTAAATTGTGTTCTAGTTAGGTACTTACCTTTAGTAAGGGGTGAATCACGTACTTCTGGAAAACTATCAAAGAATGCTTTCAAAGAAAACATAAAAACCAACACATAAGCTTTATGAAAGGAATCTACTGTAGTATTACGGAAAGCATGTTAGTTTTCTAGGACTGTAGTGATAAAGGTGAAAATGTCTTTAACAACTTCTTACCTGTGTATACAGTTTTTGCTCTCGAGATACAACATGCCAGACGCGACATCCAAGGAAAACCTCACTAGCTGCTTGAGCTTCAGTTCATCCTTCCTCTTCCTCAGAAAGGAGAGGAAATCACCTCCTACAGGAATTGACAAGAAAAGGAGATGAATCGTGATGGGAGTCTTATGTCTCATCTCTAGCCATTAGGAGGCCTGACAAAGAAACGTGGAAACGGCACCCCTGGCAAGCAGGGGCCTCACGTTTCTAGACAGTCAAGTACGTTAAGTCAAAGACAAGCCTGTCCCTTTGCCACTGTGTGCACCCATTTATTTTATTGACCTTTTCTTAGAAATTTTACTTTATCTAATAACAAAACATGTCTTAAACAAAAGAGTCAAGTGATATTAATTTCTAGATTCAGTGACCTTCTAAGAATTAAAGCTATTTAAACTAAACTGTAAGGACACACACACACACACACACACACACACACACACACACCATGCTATGAGTCTGATACAATTTTGTTATTCATCTACTATGCACACTTGCATATCAAGCAGAGTCCACTGATGTCTTTCTGGCTGTTGGCCCAGCCTCCAACAGCTGAGCCGTGTCTCCAGCCTCTAATGATGTCTTAGAAAAGCTTTTTAACCATCATGGTCCAAGACAAACACATATTATAGTCCAAACAGTCATATAAAGCTTAAAATTAGTCCTATTTTATGAAGTTTAAAAAAAGCTACAGTGATTTTAACAATATATTTTCCTTATCTCAATAAATCTCAAATCTTGGAAATATGACAGTTTATAAGCAATTTTTATTTTAAATATTTAATTGACATTTAGATTTAATACTTAGAAATGAAAAGGATTCATATGCTTAAGTTATACCAAATATTTATTTAGATTTTATGTATGTGTACTCTACATGTAACCTGCAGGCCAGAAGAGGGCACCAGATCTCTTTACAGATGGTTGTGAGCCCCCATGTGGTTGCTGGGAACTGAACTCAGGACCTCTGGAAGAGCAGCCAGTGCTCTTAACCTCTGAGCCATCACTCTAGCCTCCACCCCAATTATTATTAAAAGTTTCTGACAACTAACTCAAGTATAAGATCTCAAACTCAAGTCAATTAAAATGAAGTGAAATTAGAGCTCAGTACTTAGAAGCACTGACTACATTTCAGGATCTGTACATGGCCAGGGCTGAGCAGGGTACTCAGTGCATGAACCTATATTACATCATGTATGGACTGCACTATTTGGGATCTTTATTCTAGACACACTGGGCGTCTCACACATGCGGGGGGCCCCACACACGCGGGGGCCCCACAGGCTGGGCCATCTGCTGAAGCAGGGCCAGGCTGGTCTTCCCTCTTCTTAACAAGCCCTCTGCCTGCAGACAAACCTGCTGCCTTGCACATGCCAAGCAAACTCTCAGGTTCCACTCATTCTCAAGAGACTGTTACTATTTTTTTGCACGATAATTTATAGTTTATGGCATTAAACAGTAGGTAAAGTATGTTTTGATGCATGACCTTAAAACAACCATTCACTTCCTATCAGGCCTCTGTATTAAACTACAAATTGTAAAGAAGGATTACCCTTGGTGCCATTCCATGACCCTTTTACACTCTGCTAAAGATTTAGGTTTCCTTAAACGGAAATATTCTAGAAGAGAAGAGTTAATGTCTTTTTCTTTGGTGAGAACAACTGAAAAATAAACACCCACCTAAATCTACTTGAAATTCCCCCTTTCTTATCTTAGTCACAAATTAAGTGTTACATGTTTTGTGGGCCTCTTAGAAAACCAATAGGCTTTTTTGCTTTTTAAAAATAAACTTATAGGGCAGATAATTCACCCTTTCTGTTCATTTTAAAGCTTTGTATTATTTTAAGTATATGTACGTAGCACATTTGTGTGTGCTCGCAGGGTTTGGTGAGGCAGTGACTTGGCTCGGGAGTGGAGAGGAATTCCATTTTGTCGCTGTTAGGGTTGACACAGGGTCAGGGCAGGAGCTGGGCACCATCTAGACAGTGCTGTTGTTTAGACTGAGCTGGTCTGGAGCCTGAGAACTGGGAGCAACCACAAGATAGGGGGCTTAATTTCGTCTGCATGGGTGCCAGAGATAGAGGCACTCCCAGGGGGATGACAGGGAGTGTGGGCAGACAGACACTTAACATTAAAGATGAAAAGTGCAGGCTGTAGGCTGCCCTACTCAGGCCATGGACCAAGAGAAAGGTGGCCCCACCGTAGATGCCAACAGCGGATCTCATCAGCCGAGAGTAGTTTTCGAGTTTGACAGCTCTGAGGCTTGGGCTGGTGGGTGGACCAACTCTGAAGTCACCTACCTGCCATTTATTGATGTAGAGCCCTCAAACTCTAACTCTGAAGGTCTACTTCACAGCCACAGGTGATCCCTTCAACAGGGCAATTCATACTTAGGAGATCTTGCAAAAACAGACCTCAGGCTGTGGCTGCCTCTTACACTCCCACATACCTGGGAGACACCCTCATCTACAAATGATCTACTGCAGAAGGTGCAAGCTGTCCGTCCTGTTCTTAGTCAGGTTCTCCTGAGAGCACAGCGCTACAGAATGGGCTCCTAAGAGAAGGAGAGCCTCATTAAAAAACCCACCAGGGATGTTCAAACAGCACTCACAAATATGGAAACAGATATAAACCCAGGTGAAGGGTTTAGAAGTTTACTATTGATCAAAGACTTGAAAGAGGACACAAACGAGCAGATTAATTCAATTATGGATATGGTGAGGAACATTAGCAATATAGAGAAAAAGTTAGAAAAAAATGGATGAGGAAATCAACAATATCAATGAAAAAGGCAGCAGCATAAAAGAAAAATTCAAGTAAGGAGATCCAGATTTTTGGGGAGAGAGTGGAGAAACTCAATGAACAAGGGGAATATGCAGGTGGGATGCATTTTATGAGCAAAGAATCTATTTTCAATAAAAAACAAAGCAAAAAAAAGCCTTAATGAACCAAATAAAAAAACACAGTATTATAAAGACGTGACTAAGTAGAAGAAATATAAGGAATTCTGTAAGTAAATAACAGCAACAGGAAGAAACATTTCAATATCACCCAAGAGTTCTTGCCACATGATCAACAGGCCAACCTAAAACAGTCAACTAGATAAAAGAGGAGCTGACATAAAACTAAAGACATAGAAAATTCCAAAATTTGGAGAAAGAAATGACACCACTGTAAACAAAGTATACTTACAAGGCCAATCAGAAAGAACCTTAAATAGATATGACTAGAGAATCCCCTCCATATTAATACTATAGTTAAGATGTCCACACCACAAAGCAAAGAACCAATATTAGAATCTGTAAGGGAAAACACCAGCTTACTCACAAAGGTAAATAAATCAAAATAACATCTGTCATCAGCTCTCAAAAACTGCAAAGGAGCATAATGCAATCAATGTATCTCAAGCCCTGAAAGTAACAGGGAGAGATAAACCGCATGAGGACTTCTCAAAAAAGTCACATGGAAGACTACTGCTGCATAGCTTCCCACACTATGCACATGTAAAGAGTTAAAACGGAGTTATCATATAACAGGACAACAGCATCCACACTAGACATGGGAAGCTAACAAATAAAAAGCAGGGTTTGTAGGTCATGAATGCAGAGAGGTGACCAGGAGACGGGAGAAGAGATCTTAGGGGATGGAAAGGCGTGGCCACGTGTGTTCTAAAGTTACCACTCTCCATGCCTATGTCACTTTTCTTTTGCATCAATGTACTACAATTAAAAACCACTGGCTTGGCAATGGAGGTGCCCGATTTTAACCCCAGCACTTGGGAGATAGAAACAGGTGGTTCTCTGTGAGTTCTAGGCCAGCCTGGACAGACAGCGTGGTTTTTTGTTTTGTTTTGCTTTGTTTTTTACAGAGAAAACATTGTCTTGAAAAAGAAAATCGCTGGCTGACTAGTGTCTACCTGCATGGCCACACTGATGCTATCATGTGCACCACTAAATCATTTACTACTTGTGTATGTGCACATGGGCACAGTCATACCTTTTGCACTACTAAAATCACTCCCTGGCTGGTGCGTGTGCATGGACACTCGTGCTACCACGTGCACGTGAAGGTCACAGGACAACCTGCAGGAGCTGGTTCTCTCCTTCCACCACTCGGCCCTAAGTATCGATTTAGACCATCAGGTTTGGCAGCAGACACCTTTAGCACAGTGTATCTCACTGTTCTGATAATGCTCTTTTTCCACTCTCAAAAAGCAGTGTAGAAAGAGACTCGCCAGTGCTTAGTGTCCCAGTGAACATGCTCCAAGCCCACACATTCCCCCTCCCCTCTCTCTGTTTCATAGGAATCACCTTACTCTGATGCCCAGCTATTCACTTTTGGGTCGTAGGGTTCTTACCTTCCCTCAAGTCTTCTTTTGATAAGTCAAGGAAAATGGTTCAAATTTAAACTCCCATTTAAAGATATATTGGATGGAGCCGGGCGTTGGTGGCGCACGCCTTTAATCCCAGCACTCGGGAGGCAGAGGTAGGCGGATCTCTGTGAGTTCGAGGCCAGCCTGGACTACCAAGCGAGTTCCAGGACAGCCTCCAAAGCTACAGAGAAACCCTGTCTCGAAAAAAAAAAAAAAAAAAAAAAAAACCAAAGATATATTGGATGCAAAGATAGCCAAAATTACATTTAAAAGTGTTAAGGGTAAAATTAATAAAATATTAAATTAGGAAAGCTAATGATATTTCCAGGATATTTTAAGGACATTAAAGTTCTCAAATGAGTGACATCAATGTCCACTTTACAAAACATAGCATTGGTGGCACACCTTTAATCCCAGCACTAAATCTCTGTGAGTTCAAGGCCAACCTGCTCTACAGAGCAAGTACCAGGATGGGCTCCAAAACTACAAAGAGAAACCCTGTCTTGAAAACAAAAACCAAAAATAAAACAAAAAAAAAAAGAATGACAGCATAATTGTAATTTTGAAAAATTAGGAAAATAGATTTTCCTTTAGGCAATCTCACTAGTTATAATTTATATAATCAGAAATATATTCAATTATCAAATTGGTTTATTATAAAAATATAAACAGTCTGATAAAATGTTATATTAATATACTTGCAAAGAATAAAT